AAACACAGGGAGTGTAGTCTAGATCAGCTGCTGTGGCCTGCTGAGGTGGGCTGCCTGGCTCAGGCTGTCTTGTCTTTTTGAGGAGCTGTGACTGCCTGACCTTCAACATGATTCCCAGAGCCTGAAACTCTGCTCCCAAGAGCTATATCTCTTGGCAGAGTGGTTGAATAGAATTGGTTTGGGGACCACGGCAACTCCTCTAGTCCTCTTAGAGACTCACAGGGAACATAAACTTATTTGAGACCCCGTGAAACTGGCAGTAAAGAAACTGGTTTCACCTCAATTAACTCAGCAGTCCCCAGACAGATCGATGATGAAATCCCCTTCTCCCCGCCATTTAGTTTTCTGCAGATTCGCAGCTAACTTGTCCAGGATGAGTGCTCTGTGGAAAGCGTCCAGGTGATGCCGCTAACCCCTGATGGACTAAAGGAGGGAGGCTCGGCGCCAAGGTCATGGTGCCGGGGATGGAGGTGCTGCAGAGCATTCTGGGTGTAGAAAGAGGGAGTGGTGGAGCCGGGCCACCTGGGCCTCTGCAGGGGAGGGGGGTTTGGCACCCAGATAGGCTTTCTCCCTTGCCCCTAGTCAGCTGGAGATTAGAGCACCCCAAGGAAACCAAGTGTTCTGAGGGGAGGCTGCTGAGGGAGGCTGCCTCCCAGAATCACTGATCTATGTCCAGCCATTCCCATAGAAAACCTGGACACAGGACAGGCTCAATCAGCTGCTAAAGGGCTAATTGACCAGTGGTCAGACCTACCGACGGATGAGCAGCAAAGCCCTGTCCTAACCCAGAAAAGAGCCTGGGCTCTGGCAGTGTCCTTGTTATCCAAGGCCCTCTGAGCCAAGCTGACCCAAATCAGGCAAGGTGGGTGGGAGGACAGGGAGGGCTGAGAGGGGGATGGGGCCATGGGCATTGATCCCCTGACTCATGTGGACTCATTCACCTTTCAGCTTGACATTTTGGGACCCTCTGAGTGGTGGGTGAGTGAGGGGTGCTAGTGGGGCCCCAGGGTGCAGCAGCAAGCCTGGGAAGAGTAGAGCGATGTGGGAAAATGCCTAGTGGGGCTGCACAAGGCCTGGGTTCTAGTTGCGGCCCAACCGCCACCTCACTAGGGGTGCTGGACTCAGCCGCTGGGCCTCAGGCACATGTGTATGGGGCACCTGGGGAGAGTGAATGAGATGGTGGATCATGCTGTAAGGTTGGTGTGACTCTGCCCACAGGAGGGTACAGAATCGAAGTCTTCTGCAGGCAAGTGCAGGAGCAGGGGTATGGAGCCTCTGTGCTCAGTGCATTTGCCCACATGTCCCGCAAGGGCTGTGAAAGTCCCATACCTTGGTGCTAGAGACCCAAGACATGGACCCTCTCTGGGCCAGGAGGGGACGAGGCTCAGTGCCAGCTGGTTAGGGGCTAGTCAGGTGTAGCCATCAGAAGCAGGCCACACGGGTCCTTCTGCATTTCCTCACTGCCCCAAGGTCCATTCCTGGTGGGAACCAGGCCTCTTCCTTCTCAGCCCCAGGCTAGATTTGGCACCTTCTCCAAGGCCACCTCACGCAGTCCCTTGTTCCCTGCCGCCACACTGCAGCAGCCCCTGGGGGGTTTAGTCCCTTTGGTAGGAAGCTTCTGATTGAGTTTTTGCCATGTCATGTGCTCTGATACACATCCAGAATCTGTCCCCTTCTAAGAGGGGACAGGGAATGTGGGGGACTGGCAGGCTATGCAAACTCTACCATGAAGCGTTTCATTTCTTCATTTTTCTGCTCCTTCTACAATGGCTAAGACATCTCCTGAAGGACACCCACCCCACAATTCTTCTGTCCTGCACGATCTTACATTAGAGCTCCCTTGAAGCCCGGCGCCATTGTGGCCACCCCTTGGGTGCTGAAGTTGGGACTTCTTGTCTCCTATGACTTAGGTCACTATCAGTCCCTACCCTGTGTGGCCCGAGGACAGCCCTGGCCGAGCCAGTCCCTCAGAAGGGCATGGGGACACAGCTGCAGGCCCTGCTGAGCTTCCCTACTCCTCAGTGCCCTCTCCCTCATGGAATCTGCACCTGCCATTCTCTGACAAGGGCCATCGGAGCGAGCTAAGTGGGTATGAAGGGGACTTACACATCAAACAATTCCTTCTCAGTACAGCTCTGCAAATGAGGCCTCCCCGCCCCCATTTAGAAGAAAGATGACGTTTCTAAAATGGGGCTGAAAGCTCTATTACTAGTTTTACTCTTTCTTGGTTCCATTTTACAATATCTGAACATTAAAAATACTCATAATGATTTATGTCTCATTAAATTTACCTTCTGAGTAGATTATATAAGATCCCAATATAATTTTTCACAAATACATTTAAAATATCAGTGACTTTAACTAAATTATTCTAATTATAAAGCAAAACAATGAGAAGTGCCAAGCCGTAGCAAACCTTAGATGCCATCTGGTCTACTCAGGGAGAAACTGAGGCCTGGGGAAGGAGAGTGAGGAAAAAAAGCAGGATTCGAACCCAGGTCATCTATCGCCCCATTCAGGGTTTCTTCCCCTGCCCCACTCTGCTTATTCACATGTCTCCTACCTTATATCTGTACTTCATTTAAAGTTAACACAATTCTGGATTCTAATTCTAGTTTCCCATAATGGGCAGCCTTGTTATTGGCGGAGTTTCAGCTTTAGCTTTGGGATTACATCTGGTATGGGAGCTTTTCATTTCTCCTTCGGTGTCCATGGCAGATATTGCTAATCAATCACGATACTCCTCTCCCCTAAGCCCAGAGGTAGCCTCGTATTCTTAGCACAGTGCCCCAGGGAGCCATTTCCAATTGACTAGAGATTCCCCACGAGGCTAAACCAATTCCCCGTCTCACAGAACAGCTCCTGAGAAGACCCTGCAACTTACCATGGGCATCTTTTCCTCCAGGCTGCCGGGGTCTTGGGTTTCCATTTTTATCACCGTGTAAACCTACGATATTCCAAAGGTCAGAGTAGAGACACTTCAGAAGCAATAAAAATGCAAGCACAGATGATTCTCGGTGTGGTGGTCCTTGCCTCTACCCCACTCTCCTTCTCACAGCCTTCTCGCTCCCATCCCCTGGAGTTCTTGCTGCTGGAATTGCCCTGGACTTCCTGGTAGGGCAGAGGGAAGACTGGGAACCAGGGACGAATAACAAGAAAGACATGTGCAGTCTGTGAGCAGAAGTAGTGTTTCCTCTGACAGCAACACTTGGGATTATTCAGTGGGTCCATCTGGAGCCTTCTGTCTGGCCCTCCTCTACCTTCTCCTGTCATCTTGGAACATAGCTGGGGATGCTGAGGACACCAGTGAATTCACACCAGATAACAGGACAAGAACTCTCCATGGACAGACATGAAAGTGGAGCGAGGGGGAGGTGGTTTATATATAGGAGCTGAAACCCAGAAAGGTCAAGTAATTATTAAATTATTCCCGGGGAAGTTTTGCGGGCAAACAAATCTTATAAATCCAAGATGGTTAAGGCAAAATGGTTGCCAGTAGTTATTAGACTCCATGGGCAACGGGAGAGAAACTCCTCCTGTTGATCTTTATAAATCCAAGATGGTTAAGGCAAAATGGTTGCCTTAACTCCATGGGCAACGGGAGAGAAACCCCTCCTGTTGATCCGAAACCAGGTCAGGAAGATGTGGGTGCCTGATGGAACCAGGAAGAGCTGGGGCGTGGGGTGCCAAGGCAGGCTGTTTCATGCCCTTGAAGCCCATGGTAGACTGTAAATATAACAACGGAAGGTTGCAAATGTATGTAGGCCATTAGGAGAAACTGTTGGCCTTTTCTTTCTTGCACCTACATTTTGTTTTTATCTACATTTTTTGGTAGGGTAATGGGGGTTCAAAATAGTAGCTAGTATTTATTGTGTACTCACTACGCCTGGCTTATGCTTTATATTGACTCTCTCATTTAACTTCACATCGATCCTATGAGGGACATTGAATTATTTCCCTCCCTTCATAGATGAAAAAAATAAATCCAAAGGAGAATTTAAGCCACTTGTCTGAGATCACAGGGCTGAGATCTGAATCTGGCCAGTTGACTCCTGGGGCCTGTCTCCTCCTGCCCTCTTGAGACCTTAATTGCTGAGGGCTGCAGGGCTGGGCAGCCATTGAGGGCCTGCCTTGGCCTATTGAGTGGACACAGAGAGAATCTGAGCCTTGGCTGTTTGCAGCCTCTGTTCCTTGGCTTGCATTGGCCCAGGCCTTTGTTTAGCCACGAGATGGAGAGATACAGGGAGAGGACCCAGAAGGGAGTGGAAGAAACATCACAGGCCTGGGCCTGGGCCTGTGTGCCTTGCACTGAAGGCAGCCAAGTAGGGTAAGAGCACAAGCCTCAGTAAGACCTGGGCTCTGACCTTCTTCTTAGTTGGTCGCGTAGGCAGTTATTTCACCTTTCTGAGTCTCACTTTGCTGACCTGAAAGTGTGAATAATCCTGGTATATGTCAAAGGGTTAAAAAGTTAATGAATGTAAAGAATTTAGCACTGTGCATGCTATTTTTTAGGCAGTCAACAAATGGCATCTAAAAACAATAACACTCTTGTGATGAAATTCATCTTTAGCTAAATGCCTTGTGTTACCCACACCTAATTGCAGAATGAAAAGAGAGAGAATCCCCAGCATGAAGCTGTCATGCCTTGTCTCTTACCAGTGTGTAAGTCCAGGTCACTCCTCTCCTTACCCCAGAAGATGCCCAGGCTGGGCTCTGGACTATTACGTTGCCTACAATCCTCCCTGCCAGCCCTCCATACATGAGCATTCCTGTATGTACGTACATTTAGAGAACTTCTTGAGCAGCTGGGGCATGGCGTCTCGAGGATGGACCTCCACAGTTAGCTGTGTCCCTGTAAAGGAATAGGAGGTGACATTCTCAGTCTGATGTTACTAGGAAAGAATGCAATGTCTCATGACAAATGTTTGAATAACAAAACACAATTAGTTTTAGAGCTTTCTTTTGAATATACAAGTAATTCTTGTTTAAAAGAAGAAAAAAAAACAAAACAGCAGTTTCCAGATTTGGGCAAGACTGATAAGCCCACTGAATGCAACTATAAAACTTGGGAAAAAACGCATGGAATAACTATTTGAGGACCCTGTAAAGTAAATGATGGAAAGCAAAACGAGGAAGAAGATTAGAATTTAAAGCATCACCAAATTGGCAGCGAGTTTATCATTCCCCTCCCGCTTTGGTATTACCTGGCTGGACTCAAAGGCAGCCCCAAACCCAGAAGTGCATAATTAACGCAGAGAAAAAATGCTCCAAGAGAACCCCTTCCTTACAGCCTGTGGAGTGAGAAAAAGAACCTCTAGGAGTCAGAGACAGTGCAGGAAATCTCTGATGTTTTTTCATTTCTTTTTTCCGTTATCTGCCCGCTCAGCCCCCAAGAAATTTTGTCAGTAGCAGTGCAGAGTGATGTTGGACAGGCAGGCACCTAAGTCTTTGAGAGAAGGCACCAGAAAAGCCATGATCCCCAAGAGCGTGGGGGCAAATTCTCATTGTTTTTCTCTGTTCTCTATTGATTGGCTCCAGAAGCAGACACAGTTGTGAGAAGTGCCTGGTAGAGTGGGGGAAACTAAAGCCCCAGGTTTTGGCCAGAGGATTGGGTTGTGAAGAGCCAAGAGCTCAAGAAAACAAATCCGTAAAGTTATGAATAAACTCCTGTGGTTACTTCTGCATAGATGGATCTCATCTATGTCATGCATGCATGGATCTCATCCTAAACATCACACTACAGTCTTTGAGAACGAAACTATGGGGTAGACCAATGCCTAGACTGGCTACTGGGTGGTGCATGTGCAGGACAGATCTGATTAGCATTACAAAGGGTACAATCCAAAATTACTCAGCATTGGAAGACCCAGGAAAATCTCAATTTGAAAAGGAAAAGATAATCAATGGATACTAACCTCATGATGACACAGATTTTGGAATTATCAGAAAAAGACTTTAAAACAACTATGATAACCATGCTTTAAAAAGTGAGGGCAAACAGCTTGAGATAAATGAAATGATACAAAGTATCAACAAAAAATATTAGAAAATATAAGAAAAAAACATGGAAATTTTAGAACTGAAAAATATAGTAGTTTAAAATATTCTCTGGATACGCTTGATAGCAGAATGGAGATGACAGATGAAGGATTCAGTAAACTTGAAGGTAGATTAGTAGAAATTATCCAATATAAACAACAGAGAGAAAAAGTGAACAGAGTCTCACTGAGCTGTGAGACAATACCTAAAAGTATAACATTCATGTCATTGAAATCTGGGAAGGAGAGGAGAAATAGTGTGGTACAGAAAAAATATTTAAAGAAATAATGAGAGAATAATCAATGAAACCAAAGCTGGTTATTTGAAAAAAAATCAATAAGATTGATAAACCTCTAACTAGATTGACCAAAAAAAATAAAAAAAATAAAAAAAATAAAAAAAGAGGTAAGACACAAATCAGAAATCAAGACACCAATATCAGGAATGTAATGGGTAATATTAGTTCTACAATTTAGATGGAATAGACTAATTTTTTGAAAGCTATAATCAAAACTCACTAAAGTAGTAGATAACCTGAATGTTCCTATATCTGTTTTTAAAATTAAATTTTTAGTTCAAAATCTTCCAAAAATAAACAAACAAATGCCTGACAAACATTTAAAAAGAAATAACACCAATTGTCTATAACCTCCTTCAGAAAACAGAAGAGTAGTGAATACTTCATATCCATTTTATGAGGCCAGAATTTATCTAACACCAAAACCAGACAAAGACTGATAAGAAAAGAACACTTACAGACCAACATTCTTTATAAACACAAAAATCCTCAATAAAATAGTCTTTATAAACACAAAAATCCTCAATAAAATATTAGAAAATTAAATACAGCAATATAGTAAAAGAATAATACAACACAATTGAGTATGGTTTATTTTAGGAATGCAAGGCTGGTTCAATATTCGACAACCAATTAATGTAATTCACCATATTAACAGGCCAAAGAAGAAAATCGCATGATAATATCAATTGATGCAACAAAGGCATTTGACAGAGTTGAACATTTATTCATAATAAAATCTTGTAACAAACTAGAAATCGAAGGAAAATTCCTTAATCTGAAAAAGGAAATCTACCCAAATTCTATGGCTGATAGCATATTTAATGATGAAAATTGAATTCTTTCCCTCTGAGACTGGGAACAAGGCATGGATCTCCACTCTTATTGCTCCTAATAAACATTGTACTGGAAATACTACCCCGTGCAATTAAACAAGGAAAATAAATAAAAGTCAAATAGAATAGAAAGGAAGAAATAATATCCTCATTCACAGATAACATGGTTGTCTACACAGAAAATCCCAAGTAATCTACAATAAAGTTCCTAGAACTAATAAGTAAGTTTAACATGGTCACAGGATACAAGATCAGCAAATTAATTATATTTACAATGCAATAAATGATTGAAAGTTGAATTTAAAAATTGCTATTTCCCATAGCTCACAAAATTGAAATATTTAAATATAAATCTAAAAAAAGTACAGAAACTGTATCCTGAAAACTACAAAATATGATCAAACTAATTTTAAAAAGACTTAAATAAGTAGGGGAGACATACCATGTTCAAAATTGGAAGATTCAATATTACTGAGTTGCCAATCTCCCTAAATTGACCTATAGATTTAATGCAATTTCAAACTCCTTGGAGGAATTTTGTAGATTGTAAAAAAGGCAAGGTGATTCTAAAATTTAGATGAAAAGATACAGCAACTAGAGTAGCCAAACCAATTTTGAAAACAAAAATTTGGAGGACTCCAACTATCTGATTTTAAGATGTGCTACTATAAAGCTACAGTAATCACAATAATGTGATATTGGTAAGGGAGTAGATACATAGATCAACAGAATATAATAAAGAGTTAAGAAATAGACCCACACAAATTTGGCAACTTAATTTTTTACAAAAGTGTAAAGACAATCCAACTATAAAGTAGGTAAAAGAACGGATATTTCACCAAAAGAAAGATGGCAAATAGCACATGAAAAGATGTTCAACATGATTAGCCATTAGAATGAAAAATAAGCCACAACGGGATATCATACTTATTAGAAGAACAATAATAAAAACTAGTGATAATACTATATGCTGACAAGGTTGTGGAGAAACTGGATTTTTTTGTACATTGCTGCTGGTATTATAAAATGGTACAGCCACTCTGGAAAATACTTAGGCAGTTTCTTATAAAACAAAACATATAGTTAATGTATGACCCAACTATTACACTCTTGGACTCTTAGCCCAGAGAGATGAAAATTTATGTTCGCACAAAAACCTATACACAAATGTTTACAGAAGCTATATTCATAATTACCCCAAATTGGAAACAACCTCAATGTACTTCAGTGGGGGGAATGGATAAATACCCCGTAGTGCATCCATATCAAGAAATATTTTTCATCAATACAAAGAAACTCTTAGGAGTAATGAGAGGCTGTGACTACAAAGAGTCTGCACAAGAGAATTTTGGGGGTAAGAGAACTGCTCTGTATTCTGATTGTGATGATGGTTACATAAATCTATGCATGTATTAAAACTCATAGAACTCTACACCAGAAAATTCTATTTTACCGTAAGTTAATTTAAAATAAAATAAAAAAATTTAAAAAACCCATCAGAATAAAAAAGCCCAAGCAGAATTAAAACAAAAACTTGGATGATATAGAAAAATATAAAATAGAAATTGAAAATCCAAAATAGGATTACAGTAAACATGCTTTTGTAACCTATTTTCATCATTTAACACATCAGTGAAAGTAGCCACATGTCATCATTTTACATGGTTACATAGTACTCTATTCTATAGGTGGTTTATAATCCATATAAGTAATCCTTTTTTGGTTGGATAATTAACTTTTCCTGAATGTTTTGCTATTATAAGCAGTAATGCAGTAAACATTCTGATACACACCTCTTTACATACTTTTCAAATCAGTCCCTTTGAATAAATTCTTAAATATAGATCAAAGGGTATGGAGATTTTTGAGGCTTTTGTTCAATATTGGAAAAATTTCCTCATGAATAATTTTAGCAGTATATGATTATACCTACAGTGCAAGAGAATGCCCACTTTGCTCATTCTTACTGTGTTTGATTGCAAAATTGGCCACAGTACTTCGTACTTCCTCCCAATGAGAAGCATTTTGTTCTGTCCATTGAATTTGGGCTGGCCTTATGACTTGATTTGGCCAGTGAGCATGTGGTAGGAGTGATGTCGTGCAAGCTCTGAGCCTAGGCTTCAAGAGTCTTTGCAGCTTCCAGTTTCATTCTTGGGATTCCAGCCACAACCACCATGTGAATGAGTCCAGGCTAGCTTTCTGGAGGATGAGAGACCAAATGGAGCAAAACAGAGCCATCTCAGGTGAAGCCACCCTAGATCAGCTGGTCTCCAGCCAACTCTCTAGCTGACCGCAACACATGAGCAAGTCCAGCCAAGGCCCATGATCAGCTGGGTGTGGCTCAGGAAAGAACACCCGGCCAACCTGCTGACTTGTGAGCCGATAAATGCTTATTGTTTTAAGTCACTGAGTTTTCGAGTGGTTTGTAATGTAAAAATAGATCACTAATACCCTCACTGACATTTGATTTTTATCAATCCTTTAAACTTTTGTCAATGAATATGCCATCTTGTTTTTGCATATTTTAGTGTAGTGTTATTAATATATTTATTTGCCATTTTAAATTCTTATATTTTATGACTTGTCTATTTTCCTACTGATGTAATATTTTTTTCCTTATTGATTTTGTAAGAGCTCTTTTTATTAACCCTTTGCCTACTAAACATGTCACAATTATTT